CCCTCCACCCAGGGAGCCCATGGGCCAGCGAAGGGACCAAGGGGCACAGGAGGGGTGGAGAGCAGAGGTGGGTTCCCTGGCTCTGGAGGTCCTGCCCATAAGGGGTACAGGAGACATCTCCATCCAAGGGGGTCCTCGCCTGGGGAGGTGGTGATCCCAAGCCTGACAGTCCCAAAGCCTTCAGAGGTGACGCCTGGGAACACTTAGGTGAGATCCAGGCAGAGGACACCTGGGAATGCGATAGCGACACAAATGACTGGAGAAACCTGCCCTCAGCCACTGAGTCTGGTCGACTCACTGAAGACTAGGGCCTGAACTTCCTCCTCTGTAAATGCGGTGCAGGCTCTGGCCCTACCTTTACAGTGCCCCTCAGTCCCCTACAAGCCTTCTCTTCAGGCCACAGGCCTTTGGGCAATGGTCCGGCCTCTCTTTTCCTGGGCTGTAAAATGGGATCATTTGTGAAGAGGAGTGAGCTGAGATGTGGGGCAGGACCGGCCCTGACCGTCTCACTCCAGCTCTGCGCCCCCTCCTCTGCTGACCCATAGACTGTGGGGATGCTCCAGGCAGACCGGATCCCACCCTGCAGCCTGCCAGGTGCGCCTGCTGGCAGAGCAGGTTTGCGCAGCACCCAGGGGTCAGCAGGGGCGGGGCTGGACACTGGCCAGCCTCGCCAAGACCATCCCTGCCTAGGCCAGCGCCTCCGAGTCCACCGCGATCTCGGCGGGGCGGGGCGGAGCGTGCAGGGTCTGGCCCAGAAACTCAGGGCAGCTTTAGAGAAGGGCCACTGGACCGATGGTCCGAGGCCCGGCGTGGACCCGGGTCCCAGCGAGGGCGGAGGGAGCGCAGGCCGGGCCTGGGCTGGGGCACCCGGGAGGTGGCGCGGAGGAGGCCGCCGGGAACAGCAGTGCAGGGCTGGGGCGGCGCAGGTCTGGCCGGGTGGACCTGGGAGCTGCCGGGGCTGCGGGAGACGAGGGCGTAGCCGCGAGGCCGCGGGCGCGGGTCCATGGGGGGGGGCTTGGGTTCCCGCCCCCCCGGGCCGCGCCGGGTCGCGCGTGGGCGCGGCGGGCGCCGATTGGCTGCCGTGCGCGCGGGCGGGGCGGGCGGCGGCGGCGGCGCGGAGGGGCCGCTCACCCCGCAGCCCGGCCTCGGCCTCCGCCGCTTGTCGCCGCGCCCCGCCCGCGCGCCCGCCCCGCACGTCCCCCGCCGGCGGCCACCATGAGCACAGGCCTGCGGTACAAAAGCAAGCTGGCGACCCCAGGTGAGCCCGGCGCCCGCCCGCGTGCCCGCGCGCGCCTTTGTCCCCGCCGTCCGCGCGCCTCTCACCGTGTCTCTCCGTCTCTCCCCCGCCCTCCGGCTCGGACCCGCTCGGACCCGGACCCGGACCCGGACTCGACCCCGACCCCGACCCCGCAGAGGACAAGCAGGTACGTGCGCGCCGCCGTTCCCCAGCCGCGAGACCCGGCCGGCTGTCACCCATTGTGGCACCAGCGCCGCGGGCGCCCAGACGCGACCCCGCCCCCGCCGGCCGTCACCTGGCCCTATAGCGATCACCGATTGTTAGCTGGGCAGTGCCGCCACGCCTGGGGCTGAAAAGGGGAGGAGAGGGGCCCCTGGTCCTCTGACCCGCACCGCAGGGACCTTGCCGCCCCCGCCCCGCTCCAGGATGGGGGGATGGGCCGAGTATCCCTCTCCTGCTGACCAGGCCTGTCGGTCATGGGCTGGGGGTCCTGGGTGAGGCCATGGTCTTGGCAGGCCACGCTGGGGGAGGGGGCTCAGGCTCCAGCAGCCAGCACAGTCCCTGAGCACCCCCACAGCGGCGGGCCTCTGGTCACACCCGCCTCCGCTGCACCTTCATGCCCCTCTCCCTCCCCAAACACAAATTTGAGTGTTCTGGTCTGCGGCAGGACCTCTTCCCCAGATTAGGAACCCTCAAGGCCTGGTCTGAGTCATTCTCTGTGCCCAGAATGGGTCCTGGGACCCAGTGAGTTCAAATAGGGTTGTGGCTTTCCAAAAGGGTTGGCCTGGGCCCCGCCCTCCAGGAAAGCAGGACTGGACAGGAGGCTGGCCCAGGTACCCGTGTGAAAACCTAGCCCAGCTCAGGGTTAAACAATGCTGTGAGACCCCTGGAGCCGGGTGGGAGCTGGTAACCAGGTGGGCTGAAGGGTCTGGGGAACCTTGCTGGTGGCCTCTCTGGTATGAGTTCAGCCATCTTTGGAGGAGAAAAGAGCCCAATCCTGGCACCAGCATGGCATTGGCAGTCCCCATCAGGGATGGAGTTTCTTAGGAGCCATGGATGCTGAGTGATACTCCAGAGTCCTGGCCCAGAGTGCAGCAGGCAGGGCAGGAGGGCTGGGCAGGGAGCGCTGGGAGCTGGGGAGTCACTGGCTGATCCGTGCCAGTCTCCTGGAAGGGACACACCCCACCCAGAGATATCTGAGGCTCTCTGGGAGGCGCTCCTTGGGGAGCCAGGCTGGGAGCTGCCTCCCCGTCACAGCAGGTCAGACAAAGCCTGAAATGCAGGGACACATGTGCCAGGCTATTGTTTGAGGGAGACGGAAGAAGCTGAGGCTGGGAGACCCCGGAGGCCAGGCCCCTGAGGCTTCTCCTGGGCCTGCAGGTGTCCCCAGCTTGACCCAAGGGCACTCTGAGACCCTAGGCTCCAGCCACTGTTTTTCAGTGCATCCAGTTTCTCTTGCCCATTGCTACAGGGTGGGGACCCCCTCCTGCCGAGGTGCCCATCCTTTGAGGTCAGCTGGAAGTCCACCTCACCCCATCCCAGGCTTCCAAGCCCAGAGGAAGAAGGCACTGTGCGGCCAAGGGAGGGAGCCCCAGAGCAGGAGCCGGGCCAGGTGTTTGGGGCTGCCAGTGGGTCTGGGGGAGCTGGAAGCACACGGCAGCTTCCCTGCTACCACTGTTGTTGTTGAGCCTCAGCCTGTCCAAGCATCATTTTTGCTCTGTGAAAAGGGGCTGTAGAGGCACTGGGGGAGCTCCGTCACCGCTCTGTCCTCACCTCCTCACAGGCAGCACTGGGGCTGTCTTGGCTCCAGCTGCTGCTCCCAGAGCTGACTCGGGTGATTCTAAGAATGGAAGTGCCTGAGAGCTCAGGCGTCGGGAGGAGGTGGGTGCAGCTGTGTCATATGGCTCAGGAAGCCCTGGGAGTATGTTTTGTGACTCGGGGACCAGAGAAAGGGAGTGGCAGGTAGGGCCCCTTCCTTGAGGCTCCCCCAGGGAATTCACAGGCCCTGACTGGGCCCCAGTGGGTGGCAGGACAGGCAGGTTGAACTCTGAGAGTGAGATTCTTGCCCTCCTGACCTGGGCCTCCCCAGAGGCTGTGCCTTACTAATGGGGAAACTGAGGCAGGCAGTCTGAGAGCCACTCACTGTTAGACATTTCCTAGCCTGAGGCCTAGGCGCAGGGCTGTCTCTTCCTGGAGATGCCCTGGGCCTGAGATGCCAGCCTGTCTGGGTGGGTGCTGGGCTTCAAGGTGTGGACCCTCAGGTGGAAGCTGGGTGGGACTCAGCCCAGAGGCTTCCTGCAGGTCAGGGCCATGAAGGGTTGGGGCCAGTGAGGAGGCATTCTGGCAGCAAGGACTGAGGGATGTGCTGGGATAGCCGGGGGGCCTGTAGCCAGCCCCTTTCCCTGGGATGAAAGGCTCTCCTGTTCCCAGCTGTGGGCCTACCCCTCCTCCCCAGGTGCCAGCGGCTTCCAGGCCCACAGCCAGACCAGGGCCTGGACGGGGAATGGAGGAGGTCCCTCAGCCAAGAGAGCCTAAGGGAGAACTGATGGGGGTGGGGGTGGGGGTTTGGGGCCTCCAGCTTCTAATGTTCTAATATACAGGAGCTTGGCCTCTCCGGTCCTACCCTTGAACTTTTCCAGGCCTCATGTCTTCCACTGCTGGGCTGGCCTGTTAGGATTCTACTGGGGGCCTGGAGGTGGGGAGTTGGGTGGCCCACAGAGGGGGGCTCAGGAGACCCCCACAGTCCCTGGACTGGCCACACAGGAGGGAGGCCCAGCTGGCAGGAGCTCCCAGTCCCTCCAACCCTGTGGGTCAGAGCTGGTGAGGAAGCTCAGAGGGCAAGGGGGTGTCCACTGAAGCAAGTGGGAGATGGGCCCCATCCCACGCCCATCCCTGTCTCTGACGGCAGGTCCACTTGAGGGCTGCAGGGCGTGGCATGGGTGGCCGCCTTTTTTCAGCAGGCTGGGGGGGGGGCTTCCCTTCTGGCAGCCTGCACCCTTTCCTCCCCTTCCAGCCACCCTAAGCCTCCTAGGGGGTGGGCAGGGCTGGACCTCACAAGAGAAGTGGGTTCTGCCCTCCTCTGGTTCCCTGAATATCTTGGGGCGCCACATTGGGAAGAGTCCTCCAAACACACACACACACACCCGCGCGCACACGCACATACCCAGTGCACGCACACAGCGCATACACGCACACGAACCCGTAGGGAGACATACGCACAAACATGCACTCACAATCACGCACGCACACACACAAACAGGCGCACACACAAACACGCACGCCCCGAATAGGTCAGCCTCAGGCAGGGCTGGGGAGTGAGGGGCGCAGGGCGCGGCGTGTCTGTGGGCAGTTGGGGCGCCGTGACGTCGCCGGGAGGATTTCGGGCTAGTTTGCGAGAAGACTGCGGGCCCTGAAAGGGGCGGGTTCCCGCGCGGTTGCGCGTGGGTCCCGGGAGCGGCCTCCGGCTCCCTCTGGCGGGCGGAAGCCGCGCAGCACCTCTGGGGGGCGGGACGCGCGGCCGCCACCTACTCCCCGCCTCGGCCCGCGTGCAGGACCCGGTCGTCCCCTCCTGCTGTCCCGGAGCCCGGACTGAGGCCTCGGGGGCGCGGCGGGGCTCCCGGTCCACGAGAGGCACGGCCCGTCCGCGCCTCGGCTCAGCCCTGCCCTCCGCAGCCGCTTTCGGGTGGCTCCGCCCGTGGCCCAATTTCCAGGCGACCGTTTCCCGGCGACGGCGGGCGGGGCCGTCTCTGCCGCCCCCCGCCGCGCGTTCCGCGGGCGCCCGCGACGCCCCGCCTCTGGCTTGGGTGCGGGAGCGGGGCCCGGCCGGGCTGCGACGCCGCCACAGCTCGGGGCCAGTCCACCCAGTCAGGGGGATGGCTCGGGCGGCCGCTGGGGTCGACGGCCCCCCCGGTGGGCGACGTGCCCTGTCCAGGCCTCACTTCCCGCGTGCACAAAACGGGGAGGAGAACGCAGCCTAAAGCAGAGCCGAGCCAGGGTACCTCGCCGTCGCCGGGCTCTGGCGGCCTGACCAGGCCTGGGGTGCGAGCGCGGGCCCACGGGGGTCGCCGCGATGGACTCGCTGGCAGCGCCCCAGGATCGCCTGGTGGAGCAGCTGCTGTCGCCGCGGACCCAGGCCCAGAGGCGGCTCAAGGTGCGTGTGTGGAGAGGGCGGAACGTGGGTCTGTGACACCGCGGGCTCCGGGACTCGGCAGGGGCCAGCAAGGGCTCCCAGTCCCCGCGCACCACTGCCCGCCAGCGCCTCGGCTCAGCCCTGCCCTCCGCAGAGGCCTCAGGGGTCCACGGCCCCAGGGTGGGCGACGTGGCCTGTCCAGGCCTCACTTCCTGGGTTCCCAAAACGGGGCGGAGAACGCAGCCGTGGGACCCCTCCAGGGGCCCCAAGGGTCTGCGGGGGCTGGGCGCGCGGGCCGGGGAGGCTCGGCGCCGCCGTCTATAAATAGGCGCTGCTCCGCCGCCGCCGCTGCTGCCGCCGCCCCCGCGGCTGGATCCGGGCCAGGCAGGGCCTCCCGCCCCTTGGCACTCTCCGGAGGGTGAGTGTCAAGGCCCTGAGCTTCTCCAGCTTGTGGAGGGCCTTGAGTGTGTCCCAGGGGTCCCAAGCCTGCTGCCCTCTGCGCAAGGAGGGAGGACACCGCCTGTGACTGCGGCGGCCTGACATCTCCCCAGGACAGTCTCCGTCCCCGCAGAGCCCTCCCTGAGGTTGGGGCAGGGGTGTTTTCTCTTGCCACCCACTCGCCTGTCTTCTTACCTCCAGGACTTTGCCCACGAGCCCTCCCCTCATTTTTGCCAAAAAAATGCCCCTCCCTGGGAACGGTACCTCTGCTGTCTCTTCATCCTGCATTTGGTAAGAGACAGGGTATTGGGCTTCCTGGAGAAAAGTTTATGTCCCTAACCTGCCCCACCCTGCTGCCCCCAGGACATTGACAAGCAGTACGTGGGCTTCGCCACACTGCCCAACCAGGTGCACCGAAAGTCCGTGAAGAAGGGCTTTGACTTCACTCTCATGGTGGCTGGTGAGTGGGCCAGACTCCTTGGGGGAGTGGCTGGGGGTCCCTAGCCAGACAAGCTCTGTCGTTGGAGCCCCAGACCTAACCCAACTCCTTCTCTGTACCTGTGTGCAGGTGAGTCGGGCCTGGGGAAGTCCACACTGGTCCACAGCCTCTTCCTGACCGACTTGTACAAGGACCGGAAGCTGCTCAGTGCGGAGGGTGAGTGGCCTCCAGGAGGTCCGGGCTCTGATCCCCAGCCCCCTGCCATAGAACCCCTCCAAGGGCTCCCCATTCCAGGTCCAGCTCCCACTGTTCTGTTTCACAGTGTGAGTGCCCCAGGGGTAGGGCTGAGGCACCAAGATGGATGAGGACAAGGGTCCTGGCTGCCGAAGGTGAAGGGCTGAGGGTTGGAAAGGCCCCTCCAGTGGCCCCTTCCCCATAGAGCGCATCAGCCAGACGGTGGAGATTCTAAAACACACAGTGGACATTGAAGAGAAAGGAGTCAAGCTGAAGCTCACCATCGTGGACACGCCGGGATTCGGGGATGCCGTCAACAATACCGAGTGGTGAGTGAGGCCTGCTGAGAAAGGCCCTGCCTAGGCAGCCACAGCACTCCAGGCCTGGCCTCACGCTCCTCCCTGCCCACAGCTGGAAGCCCATCACCGACTACGTGGACCAGCAGTTTGAGCAGTACTTCCGCGATGAGAGCGGCCTCAACCGAAAGAACATCCAAGACAACCGAGTGCACTGCTGCCTGTACTTCATCTCCCCCTTCGGGCATGGGTGCGTGGCTGTCCTGGGGTCAGACGTGGGAGCGCACGCCCTACGATATGTCCCCCTGGCTGTGCCCATGCCCACCCCTGGCTGGTCTCCGCAGGCTGCGGCCGGTGGATGTGGGTTTCATGAAGGCGTTGCATGAGAAGGTCAACATCGTCCCTCTCATCGCCAAAGCTGACTGTCTCGTCCCGAGTGAGATCCGGAAGCTGAAGGAGCGGGTGAGCCTGCTGCCACACAGGGGCCTGGCCAGGGGGACTTGGCCAGCCTCAAATCTGACAGCCCTTACCCCACCACAGATCCGGGAGGAGATTGACAAGTTCGGGATCCATGTATACCAGTTCCCTGAGTGTGACTCGGACGAGGATGAGGACTTCAAGCAGCAGGACCGGGAACTGAAGGTGAACATGCAGACGGGTGGAGGAAGGGGGGCGGAGGTCGTGAGGGGCAGAACCAGAGGACCTGTCTCCTTCACACCTGGCCTACTGGAAGGAGGGTCAGGTCAGCCTGGTTGGGGCAAGAGTCATTTGTTCTAAGAGTAGAGGACCTGTACTTCATCCAGGGCTACAGGGTAAAGGTCATCATGTCTTTGCCTGGCTGGGGTGGGTCATGTGGGCCCCGCGTGATGCTTGGCAGGTATGGAGCACTTGCTCAAATCCAGAAGTGCAGCAGTGGGCCAGGACCCCAGCCCTGACCATCTTCCCATGGCTCACCACCAGAGGGCCTGGTCTAGTGGCACACCCTGGCTCCCAGATTTCTGAGCTCCAGGGTTGGTGGCTTTGAGTGCCCCAGCATCTGCAGTGGTGGTGATAATGGAGACCATGCCAGGGGCAGGTGGCCACCAGGGCAAGGGCATCAGCATGAGGAGACATAGGCTCAGCCCTGGGGAGGGAAGGGGCAGCTGGAGCGAGTGATCTTGATGAGGGAGGGACCGAGCGTGCCTGGTTGGGCCATAGCCTGGTAAGGCCCTGGAATGTGAGCTGCATGGGCTCTGGCTCCAGCCACATCGGCAGAGACCAGAAAGGGGCAATGCCAGCATCTCTTTGAAGAGAGGTCGTTGATGGTGATGCTGGAGGGGTGCCCCAGGAGCTGAGGGCCCCTGCCCCTTTCCCATCACTAACCCTGCAATTTTGCTGACCTGGTGTGAGCCCTTTCCCCTCCTCCCTCCAGGAGAGCGCTCCCTTCGCTGTTATAGGCAGCAACACGGTGGTGGAAGCCAAGGGGCAGCGGGTCCGGGGCCGACTGTACCCCTGGGGGATCGTGGAGGGTGAGTGAGTCTTGGGGTACCAGGTCTGGGGTGGGAAGGCTGTCCTAGGCCGGCGCTCGCCCACTGCCCACTCCCACCCTGCAGTGGAGAACCAGGCGCACTGTGACTTCGTGAAGCTGCGCAACATGCTCATCCGCACGCACATGCACGACCTCAAGGACGTGACGTGCGACGTGCACTACGAGAACTACCGCGCGCACTGCATCCAGCAGATGACCAGGTGCGCGCCACCGCCGCGAGCCAGACCCCGCCGCGAGCCAGACCCCGCCCCGAGCCAGGCCCCATCCCGAGCCAGGCCCCGCCCACGTCTCCATAACTGAGGGCAGGTCCTGCCAGCCCACCCAGACTTGAATGTCGCTCCATCCCCCAAATCGGCCCCCCAGAGCCTGGCCTCCCTAGAGCCAGTCAAAGGCTGTGAGGGCTCCGGAGGGCAGGGCCTCGGCAGTGGCGGGGATGGGCCAGGCATCGCCAGCCCACGCTGAGCCTCCCAGCAGCGTCGCCCCGCCCATCCCTCCCCCGCAGCAAACTGACCCAGGACAGCCGCATGGAGAGCCCCATCCCGATCCTGCCGCTGCCCACCCCGGATGCCGAGACTGAGAAGCTCATCAGGATGAAGGATGAGGAGGTGTGTGGGGCGTCGGGGGCGGGCGGCAGGGATGCACCTCGGAGGTGCTGCTTACCAGCCCCGTTGTCTCCGCCCACAGCTGAGGCGCATGCAGGAGATGCTGCAGAGAATGAAGCAGCAGATGCAGGACCAGTGACGCTCGCCGCGGACACGCCGTCCGTCTCCGGGACGCCCTCCTACCCCTGGATCCTAGACCGGACTGTTCCCGACCCGGAGACGCGGGGCCACAGCCCCCAGCTGACCCTAATTTATTTTCAGCACCACCCCTCCCAGGCCTTTCGTTTCTGCTTCCAAGGGGCCTGGACCGTAGCCCCTCCCAGCTGGCCCTCTCTGGCTTTGGGGGATCTGGAGCGAAGTTGGGCAGGACTTCAGAGATCCGCCTCTCTTGCTTTTCCCTCGCCCCGGGAGGTCACAGCGCCCAAACTGCAGGCCCTGCTCTGGCAGGCAGGCAAACCAAGGCAGAAGAGGGAAAGCGATTCCCAGGGTCCAGGGTCTGTTCTCTGCCCCAGAGCTGCAGAACGGACTTGGAAGCCCTCCTTTGCCTGCTCCCGCGGGTCACCCAGCAAGTGCTGAGACCCCATTTTCCGTCGAGGCGGGCAGGGTCTTCCCTTAGCCTCGGAGCCCAGCGGGCAGGGTTGGGCTTAATCAAATGGGAACCCTCCAGACATAAGGAGGTCAGAGGCTGTGAGGAGGGCGGGCGTGACCGCCCACACCCCTTCTCTACAGCCAGGCCCGACCTGGAGGGCCCCAGGGGCACTGGGCGGAGAGCCACCTCCTGGCAACTCTCGGTGCCGTCCACTGCCCTCGCCCGAGGCCTCTTCTTTCAGCACCACAGGCGTGTGCCGGGATCCCGAGCCTCGGCCTCCCCATCTTCCCACCCGCATGATCCTTTCCCGCCACACGATGTTCCGTTTTGTTCCGTTGTGAATGCCGCATCCTGTCCTGGTGACAGGAGAACAATATTGGTGAACGTCGCAGTAGGTGTCCGAGTGCTCCGTGTGCCCCTGAAAGCGGGTGGGAGCGGAAACCCCTGCGGCCTCGGCCTCCGACGATAGCGCGCTATCTGCCGAGTCCGCGCGCGTCCGCGCGGCCTCTAGGCTATTTCTGGCCCGGCCGCAGCACTGTGGTGGGTGCGGGCGTGCCGGGACCCGGCGGGGGCGGGGCGGCCTTATGGGTCTGCTCTCCCACCTACGCCTCTCGCTCCAGAGCAAGCCGGGCCGCCGTCCTCTCGCCATGGGCTCTGGTGAGTCTGGAGTCTGGTTGGGCCCCCGGCTGCTCCCTAGGCCGATCCGGGTTGAGAGGCACTCTGGTCCTTTGGCTGCAGCAGGGAGAGACTTGGATCAGGCTTGGTGGGGACTTCTAGCCAGAGTACGGGGTGGTCAGGGTGGAGAGGGGGGCGGGCCACTGGGACGCCGCGCATCAGGGGGCTGGATGGAGCCGGGCCGGCGCTCTGGGCGCTCGGAGACGTCGTCCAGGCGCCCCGCCGACCGCCCGGCTCACTGCGGCCTTCCCTTGCAGGGCCGCGCGGGGCGCTGAGCTTACTGCTCTTGCTGCTGGCGCCGCCGAGCCGCCCGGCCGCAGGTTGCCCGGCGCCCTGTAGCTGCGCGGGGACGCTAGTGGACTGCGGGCGCCGCGGGCTGACTTGGGCCTCGCTGCCGACCGCCTTCCCTGTCGACACAACCGAGCTGGTGCTGACCGGCAACAACCTGACGGCGCTGCCGCCGGGGCTGCTGGACGCGCTGCCCGCGCTGCGCGCCGCACACCTGGGCGCCAACCCCTGGCGCTGCGACTGCCACCTGGTTCCACTGCGCGCCTGGCTGGCCGGCCGCCCCGAGCGTGCCCCCTACCGCGACCTGCGTTGCGTGGCGCCCCCGGCACTGCGCGGCCGCCTGCTGCCCTACCTGGCAGAGGACGAGCTGCGTGCCGCTTGCGCTCCCGGCTCGCTCTGCTGGGGGGCGCTGGCGGCGCAGCTCGCGCTGCTGGGCCTGGGGCTGCTGCACGCGCTGCTGCTGGTGCTGCTCCTGTGCCGCCTGCGGAGGCTGCGCATCCGCGCCCGCGCCGCGCCCCCGCTGTCGCTGACCGCCCCGCTGGTGGACGAGTCGGCCGGAACCGGCGCGTCCTGAGGAGAGACCCGGCGCTGAGCAACGCGGGCCTGCAAACTCGACAGGACCCTGCCCAAGGAGCCCTCTCGCCAACCTGGACCCGCTTCGGCCTCCTCCGCTGCCCAATCTCAGACCCACCCCACCTGCAGGCCCAGACCCACCTGGGGCAGAGCTCCTGCCCACTTTACCCCGAGGGAGGCGAACCCGCACCTCCAGGCGTGGCAGGACCGTGGGGCACAATGCCATCCAGACCCTGGCCTTTCCTCCAAACTCTGGTGCTGAATAAATCCTTCTGATCGGGCCTTCTCTGTCCCACTGACCTGGAAATTCCCCTCGCCAAGCTCAGGAAAAGGCGTTCAAGGGGACACAAACACATCCTCATATGCCCCTTCTCACCTCAGCGGCAGACAGGAGTCAGTGGGTGAACTCTCCCCTTCCAGACACACTCCCAAAAGGCCATGTGGGAAGGCATGCGAGACATGCTAGGTGACAACGCCTGGGGGACAGCGAGGACGCTGTGGGGGTGTGAGGACGCCGTGGGGATGTGAGGGCGCCGAGGGGATGTGAGGGCGCCGAGGGGATGTGAGGACGCTGTGGGGATGTGAGGACGCTGTGGGGG